TTTGTATGGGATTACAGGCTGAATGCGTTGAGTTTCTATTAAGTGAGTTAATAGGAGTTAAAATTGTGGTGGGTTTTCAGAGAACAGGAGAAGACAAGGCAACTCATCATGCATTCATTTTTATTTGTAGAGAAAATTATATGCTTTGTACCCACCACCATGGTGAGCTATCAGCTCGTGAGGAATTTTTCATCCTGACTGCAATTAAATAGCTCCTCAGAGTGTGGATAGATTAGAAAAGATAGTTGCAGATATTTAGCCTACAGTGAATCTGAATAACTGACTTCCAGTTTTGACATGAGCCTGATTGAATTACGATAGCATGGAGCATTTGACACGTGGTGGATGGCACACGAAAGGAGTAGGCAGGATGATAAATAAGTCAGTGTGCTTTAGGGGGGTTGTATGTTCTACTGCAGGCTAGAAAAAAATAACTACAAAATGACCTGGACAAACAAATCGTTATATTTGGGTATATGCAGTCAGATTTGGAAATGTAGGGGGAGCAGGGAAGCAGTGGTTGTGTGACCTACGTGGAGAGTGGACTGGTTTTGCAATGTGAGAGGATTTGGTGTCTTACAGTTATAATAATTTCACAGTAATCTTTTGCTGTTTCAGAGAATGGAAATGTTGGTTCTTTCTACTTACTTGAGGGACTGTGAAATGCTGCTTAGGTTGTGGGTTTCTGTGTGTTAGCAGAGCGTTAGCTCTAGGAAACTCCGAGAAAAACAACATGAAGTTGGGTTTTTTACAGAGCAGTTCCCTGCGGTATAATTTTTAGTGCTTTGTTCCTTCCAATTTTAAATCACTCCACTGCTGGAGCTTTTATTTGCCTTGTAGCTTTGCTACTAACAACTCTCACTGCTGGCAATTTGTTCTTAACTGCATTTGCTAACATCACTTCTAGCTAATACCGTTCTAGACCACTGTAAAATTCTCTCTCTTCACAATCTCCACACAGTTCAAGTTATTGCAAGCTTATCTAAGGCCTGTTTACAAATCAGCTGGCTATTCTGTATATTTATTTTTAATTAATGCATAGAACAATTTCCTTAACCGTTGTTGTTGCTATTGTAGGAAGTCTGTGGAATCAGAAGTGCATAACCTTTGCAGCATCAGGAGCATGCATTAGCAGCTCGTCAGGATGCCTGGGGGCAGCACCTAATTTACATATATATTTACACAGGATTTTAATCAGAAATAGATGCTCATAGTAGCATTTATTTATAGAGTGCTGTAAGTATATGCAGCACTTCAGAGCACAGAATCTGCTTTGAAGGCTGCAGGGAAGGTAAAATCAATGGGGAAACCAGTCTCTCTTACTCAGCCCAGCTGCTCAAAAGTAACATTTTTTTTCTCTTTCTCTAGAAGCAAACTGATTTTATGTTTACCACCTATGATTTATTTGGGGAGTGGTGTGGAGATGACCCTTGTTTTCTTTAATCACTGTATCTAACAATTGGCACTGACGATTTTGTTTAAAAATACCTGTGGTAGCCTTTGTTGTATCTGTCAGAGTGTTATTTAACAAAACAAACCGACAAGCCCACAAACTGTATCCAGTGGGCTTTGGCTCGGAGTTTGTCTGTACTGGGATCTATCCTTGCATATATGTGCGATATTCTCCCCATTTCAAACCTGTTTAGGAGTCACAGTTATAGATGCACATCTATACGCAACCAGTGAAAAAAATGTATTTTCAAGTTTTGTTCTCTTAGTTACAAAATTTTCCAATTTCAATATATCCTTGTATAAGAAATGTAGAAACCTGCATAAGCCATCACAGTTTTTTTAGACTACTGTGCATTTTAGGAATTATCCCCAAAGTGTCCTTGTATTTGCTGAGCGCAAATCTGATTTTTACCTTTCTGAAAAGAACTGTTACATGTACTTCTGTTATTTCCTGAATGGAATAGCAGAAACTTCTTCACCATAGATTTTTAGGTGGTTGTTCTGTCCGTCTAATGCCAAACAGGACAGAGTGAGGGGAGGAGGGGCTGAAGCACAGGTACCTGATTCCTCGCTGGGTATGCGCTGGCCGTAGGTGTTCATCATCCTTAACTCTCCAGGGGTGCTGCAATGGGCTGTGAGGAGATACGAGCGTACATCAAGACTTTCATTACCCATTTCTGTAGTACTAAGAACAAAAATGCTATCTTCGTGTGGAAGAAGCTAACTTTTGGTTGTTTAAATATCTTCATTTTTCATAATGTAAAGTTATATTGGATATATCAGTGCAAACGTACAAGTACATTTTAAGAGACATTTCCAGGCGTCTCCAGAGATTTTTCTTTTTAACTACACATATCAGTGTAGCTTACCACAGTGCTGCATTAGCATAGAAACTACAAATGTTTTCCCATACTGAGACTGGTCTTGTGTTTCATAAAGCAGTCTCACGGTTTTATTAACTCAGTAACCACAAGCAGAACCTGTAACTTTACCTGCAGGTAGGCATTTCTCAGACTGTATTGTTATATAGCTGTCTCCTTGAAGCGTGCTTTTGCTGATTACCTATTTCGGTGTTTTGCCCTGTTCCCTTTTGGGGAAAGGAGCAGTCATTCCTGTAAACGGCAACAGTATTGTGAGGGTAGACATGATGGTCCTGTGCAGAAGAAATTGTTCAGAAGTAGCAGATAGGTAGGAGGAAGGGCTATATTAGATTAAATTTTTTTCTGTTGAAAAGAAGGAAAATAGCAATTCATAGTTCTAGGCTTGATATTGTAAGCTCAATGGGATATTGACTGTCGTTCACTTTTGTGTTTACAGTACCTGCAGCAGTGATGGTTTATGTCACTGCTGGCTCAAAAAATAGCCTGTATAAGCAAAACACGAGTGCGATTCTGTTAAGAATTGTTCAATGGCTTCTGGGGTAATTGAGTTATCGCATAATAATAATAGTGTTATATTCATTTAATTTTTCTACTGTGATTCTTGGCCCACAGATTTAGGAAATGAAGGAAGTTATTCCAGAGTACCCAACACATCAGAAGTGTAACTTTCCCTAAGTCACAGTGAAAACTTTCTTTCCTGTGGCTACTGCAATCCAATGGATAGTTCCTCAGCCAACGCAGGAACAGCAGACGCAGGCAGTAGGAAGAAAAGCCTTTTGCTTTTGGTGTAGTCAAAGTGCTGGTTCCAGTTTAAAATTCTCTTGTCACCTACCTGCCCTTTCCATATCTTTGCACACAATCCTAAACAGGAACAACGTATCCAACAGAAGATGTGTCACAAGAGGCCACCTTATTAGGACTTCAGCAATTATTTGTCCATTTATATTCCAAAACACATACAGCTACCGTCAAATCTGGTGGGATAAAACTTAGCTGTGAAGGAAATTTTATAATTTAAAATGATCTTTTGCTCCAATTGCATTGATACTGCAATAGTGCCTGGAGCCACAGGATGGCACTGTCTTTAAATACACAAGAACCTTGCAGAGGGCAAAACCAAATTACAAGACTTTAATCCGTTCAGCGGGAAAGAGAACTCTTTTTTTTAGAGTTTTAAGGACTGAGGACAAGGAAAAACAAATGCACTTTTTCTGTCTTTACTCTAAGGTTTTATTACAGCATAGTTATTTCTGTAAAATATGAGTTGTAGAAGGCGGCTTTTCTGTGCTTATTTCTATGAGATCTGTAAGAGCTCTAGAAAAAAAAAATCTTTCTTGTCACTTGTAATTGGATTCTATCATAAAGAGTAAGATTTGCTCCATTTCGTAAATTAAGAGAGTTGGTGCTGGGCTGACCTGAGCACTCTTTAGCAAGCCACAGCCAGCCACACTGCCAGAGGACCTCAAACCTGTGACTGCAAAAGGGAAAATACATTTTTTAGGGGCTAAATGTCCCTGGTCTTTGCCCTTACTAGAAGAGATTATCCAAAAATAAGACCGATGTGCTTGTGTTTGAGCACTGCCAGTCAATCGTAAAATTGAAATTTCAAAATCTGTTTCTTGTAGGCTGCTGTGCAGTGGTAATTGTGGATCTAATTTCCATGTGATATTTTAAAGGGAATATGCTTCTTATGATTAATGTCATTTATATAAACATATATATGCACGCATGCTGCATTATGAATTTGCAGATTTGAGCCTCTGTGGGAAATATTCTGACACAAAGCATCTTTTGAAATGTGTCAACACTGAAAGCGAGTACTGTTTTCCTATGCAAATAAATTTAGGAAGTAAAACTTCTTTCAGTAATTGGAAGGCTTAGCATCTGCTTCCCTGTGGTTCCTGGGTATTAACTGCAAACTGGTGTTTACAATTAGATTATAAACTGTGCTTCTTGTTGTGCTGTAGTAGTTTTACAATAAATTGTTCATCTAAACTGTGGGCTGATGAGGGAACTGAGTAAAAGAAATGAGGTTATTAGACCACTAGCAAGCTTTCAGATGTAACAGGAGTTACTCTGTATCTTAGTTGAGTATTTTATTTATAAATGGTACAGGCTTTCCTGGTGCTCTGAGCAGCCGTAATGTTGAATAATGTAGCTGCTGTTAATGCAAAAGTGTCCATGGTGGAATAACCTCTTTTAAGTGTTACCATTCTGCCTGAATACCCTGTGCTCAGTCCTTGTTCACTTCACCTTGCTACAAGCTGCTACTGTTAAAATAGTGTAAAGTAGGGACCTGAAAAGCACTTTTCACATAATAACTTTCTGAAAACAGTTGAAGCTTGTAGTTTTTTGACCCAGAATTTACAGTTATACGCTGATACACACACCTTTTCACTAGCTATTAGTTAAGACCTAATTGTTCTCTTCACGTGAATAGCAGCAAAATTACATTACAGCGCTACCGTATAATTCACTTTAAAGAATGTCAAGAAGTCTACCATTCAGTTAGTTTTTAACTGAAGAGATTCACGTGGAAAATTCCAAATTTCTGTTGCTAAGTCTTAAGTCAAAACAGTTCGACTTCTACAGGACACAATGTGCATACATTTATGAGAGATACTTAATTTCTGTCTTCTAAGGTTATATTCTTGTACTTTGTTTTAGGAAGAAAATATGACCGTAACAGAGGATTTTAGTAGAGTAGAAAATATGTACCGAATGGAAGCAGAGGTAGGTATTCAACCTAACCAAAAAAATGTTGAGAAAAAGAATAAGAAATGTAGCAAGGACAAAGGACAATTTGCAGACTGTCTTTCCTCAAATGTTCTCCCCAGTAAAGGCATCGTAGTCCTAAGAACCTCTTGGAGGATGGCAGCTTAAAGCAGAGTTCAGCTGCAGTCTTCCGTTATGCACAGAACTTGTTTTCTGCTGCTGTCATATAGAAATAATTATTTTCTTCTCAGATGAATGTGTGCTTTTTAAATATTGCATGGTGCTACAGAAGGGAATATTTGGTTCTGGGTCTCTGTAGTTGTCACTCTGTTGAAGTGGAAGCAAATCCACGATTCTGCATCTCCTTCACCCCCACGCCTTCCTACCCTTTCTTTTTGCAAGGAGTTGTATGTTTTAGATGAGGTGATAGATCAGTTCCGAAAGCTGCTCTACTTAATACACTTCTTTTTCCAGATTAGCTTTAATTTTTTCCATTATTTTAGCTCCCTGAACTGGAAGCAATGCAGCACAGAGGATGAGAATGGATGGGGGACAGCAGTGGCGTGGCAGCCCTAATCTAGATCTGTTTAAACCACAGTTGAACAGCACCTGGACTTTGGTCTATTCTAGATGACTCTGCTATCAGCTTGCTGCAAGTAAAGCAAAGCTAATTATTTTGTAGGTAAATGACTTTGAATTCTGTAGGTAAAAAATCCCCTGTGAAAGCTAAATATTATGGGAATAAGCCCATTTACTTCCAAAGCAGCTCAGAGAAGGGTATTTTTTGCACATTCCTGCTATAGTAAGAAATAAATGCTGTGCTGGAAACATTCACTGAGGGAAATGATGTGTTTTCAGTCAATGAATCTTTTTAGAGCATCAAACTTTAATCACTACCCAGCAAATTTACAGATTCTCATGAAGGAAACCTGGAAGTCTGCAATAAAATGATAGCTGTTTTATAGAGCTGTTATTTACAATTCCCTAAAACAGGGTTCAGCCTCTTTAGTCTGCTTGTGTGCTTTAAGGCATCCTCTCATCTAAATAACGGCAATAAAAAGAGAAATAATTGAGAATTTGGATTTTAAAATGAGTCTTCAGATACTCAAATGGTGTGCATCAGTGTCATGTTTTGAATTACTTAAACATCATAAAGTAGACACTATCATGAGAGCTTAAATCACCATGTTTTTTAGATAAGCTATACATAAAAATTAATAAAACTATATCGAATTATTATTTAGGCTACAGACAAGCTTAGACTTACAACTTCAGTCTGAAGTGGTAACTTAACTAGTCGTCTCCGTTCTGCTATTAATTTTTGTGCGACAGAGATTGTACGTGGAAAGCGAGTTGCGTGGATTCGGTGCTCGTTTGGAGGCAGCCTGGCCCAGCTGTAATTGCTGCTCAGAAGTTGTGTGGTTGCCTAGGCCCGAGGTGTCAGAACTTGAAAAATCCAACCCTAGTGCTGCTGCTTTGGCTGCCCTGTACACAGAAGTAGCAGGATGGCCGCTCTTTATGCAGAGATTAGTTTCTCCTTGCTTCCCCCTTTATGTACCTACTTGTTTCATTAGTGCAGCTTCATAAACCAGTGAAGTTCCATTGACCAGCATGTTTGCATACTTTAGCATTTCTAAATGGATTTAAAATTAACTTGCACGCGCTTCTTTACTAAAGAGTTTGCTGTTATATTTGTGTTATACATAAAGTCATGGATGTCATGGGTTATTTAATTCTATAAACTCGTTACCATTTGTCTGCTGTAAGAGGTTTCAGAAGACTGAAGACATTCCCAAATAGCTATTTTGAAGTATAATTAAGAATTCAAGATACGCTTTCAACTGTAAGGAGATAAATTTTAATCCATGCTATAACAAAGGAAAATATGCAGAAGAATTAAGTTGTATATGAGATCACAAAGCTCTATATTATCTTAATCATAGTTATTCATTTATTGCACAACAGCCTCATGGGATGAAGATTTTGTTGGTTTTGTGCATTTCTTAATATACTTGCCTCCCTATAAACCATAACTTCTTGTCCTTTACAGCCTTTTCCAAACCTCGTAATGCCCATAATGGTTTTGCATACCCTCATACTACTTTTCCACACTTTTTAACCTTAATTATAATTGAAGAAATTGAAGTCCTGCTTTGCATTTTAACGCTCCGGTATCCTCTGTAAATGTAAGTGGAATTGATTGGATCTGGCTCTTAATGAAAACTGAGATTTTTAGGGAGAAAAAAATCCAAGAAAATTCACAGCTACTGCTCAGTTGTTTTCTGCCCCTGAGGGTACCTGATTACACTGCGTGGCCAGAACTGCCCCAGCCGCAGCAGCTTCTCTCTTGCTTAAGACCCAAGTTCTTTTGTTTGATCGTTCTTTTGTTTCCTCCCCTTGAGGGGAACTAATCTTGTCAACACTGATAGCGGTCTGGAAAACACTGTGACAGTTCTCATAGTGAGACTTTCAGTTTTCAACAAAACACAACTCTGACAGCTTTCTGGCAATACAGCACAAGAGGACGTACGTTTTTTTCATATATGGGAAGAACTCCCACTGAAGAAAGCAATCTAAATTTAGTCTCATCTTCAGTCTTTGTTCAAACTGGTACCACGCTTCCAGAAAGTAATTCAACCTCCATGTTACAGTTAAAGGGTGTGCAGCTGAGATGAAGGTGCGGACTTGGTGGAGTTTTGCACAACAGATGTTGTCCTTGTCCTTGTAGGAGATGGAAGTGCCATGCCACTCCTTCTTGGTCACTTTTTAAGGCCCTAAGCCCAGCTTTGGCTCAGTTGTGTGCAGAGCTACTGAGCCAGTGCAAGGATTCAAGGCAGGGTGAGGTATGTGTAGTTACAACTCTGAGGGAGGCTACCAAGAGTAACAGCATTTGTGTATTAATTACTCTGTGCTGTTTGGTTTTTTTTATATTCATTTTTTACTCTACCCTGTATATGAAGTAGTCTCCTCCTCTCTCACTGAGAGATTCAACTTCCTTGAATCATCTCATTTTCTACAAGGTAGCTGTATGGTGTGTACCAGGAAATGACTGCAGTGCAGCTGACATGCCATAGCTTGCGTTTCTGTACCATGCGCCTTCGCTGGGATAGACTGCTGCATGGACTGCACAGAGGACGTGTTCTGGGCATCACGGGTTGGCAGTGGAATTTCTTTTACAACAACTTTTTTCTTCCCTTCCTGCTG